GTGGGACTTCCTTGTCTTAGATTCACAGACGTCAAGGAGAATCGAGGATGCTCGGGGTGACCGCCTAGTTACAAAGCCCAGCGGAAGAGTGAAGCTGCCTGGTTCACCCTTCCGCTCCCGCCGGCCCGGCCGTCTGGTTCACAGAAGCTCAGCCGACGGTTTCGCCTGGCTGTCTGCGCCGAGGGAGAGGACAGGCTGAGCTGCTCTAAGGCGTGGGGGCCACGGGCTACACGACCTCGGTTTCTCCTCAAAGATCCGTAAGGGGAAGGAAACTTAGCTCCGAACGCAAACTCCGCTAATTCCGCACGACCCGAAGAGCGCGTGATAAAATGCAGAAGCGGTGGCCGCAGGACACTGCAGGACCAGAGGCACAGGTCTTTGGTGGCGACTGCGCTGTAATGCTAAGATGCTCTGCAGTGAGCTGGCGCAGACGTGAAGCTGGCTCATGGCGCACGCCCCGCGGGCCTCAGGGACAGGGAGACAGGGAGGGCGGGCCGAGGCGCTCCTTGTGAAAGGTGGACACAGGCAAGACGGCAGGCCGGCGCCCGGGGACAGGGCTCCCGACAAAACGGTGCGTGTCCCCTGTGCCCGCCAGGCGCTGAGGCCGAGCCCAGAATCAGAGAAGAACCACTGAATACTTAAGGGTCTTGGGGAAGGAGGAAGTATTTCCTAAGGTGATCGTCCCGGACATGTCAGTGACAGCTGGGAGCTCAGTCCACCTGGTGCGTGTCTGACCCTCCAGGTCCTGTCCTGTCAGTCTCCCCGGGAGAACGGTGGCGAAGTTTCCACAGAAGGCACAGTGTGAAATGCGGAAGGACCAGCCAGCACGAGCCCAGGTGGACTGAGGGCCCAGGAAGGAGCAAGGGAGGGGTGGGCGCGTGTGTCCCACCATCTTGGTGGCCTGCGAGGGTGGGGAGGGGAGCGATGAGGATGACCCTGCTGTGGGGGGGTGTGGGGGAGAGGCCTGGCCCCCCACAAGGTGGCCGGACAGGCCGTGGGAGGAGCTGGGCCACGAGTAGCATGCTGCAAAGAGAGGACAGGGAAAGGCCAGCACCACAGGCGGGGCTGCGGCCGCAGGTGGGGGCCGCCCCCCAGCAGCGTGGGCAGGGCAATGTGGCCACAGGGCGCTGGGGGCTGTGGAGACAAGCAGGCCAGGCCGAGGGGTTTCTCCTGGGAAGGCTCACCGAGGCTCGCACAGGCGCACACCACCTTTAGGAATCTAGAACACAAAAGAAAAAGAGAAACCCTCTGTTAGAGAAGAAGGCAGCAGGTTAGAGGCGGGCATTTTGCTCCGGGCTGCAAACTGCACCGCCCTGGGCGGGGGGAGGGGACGAGGGAGGGGAGGGAGGAGGAGAGGAGGGGGTTTAGAGCAATAGGTTACCACAGGGGACATCCCAGATAAGGAACTTTCACGGTTTAACTCGGACCCTTAGATAGTCTTTTCTTTATGATTAAGAGAGGCCCAAGACGGAGGCCGATGCAGCCGTCCATCCCGACTCTTGTTTCCATGAGTTGAGTTTCAAGAGAAAGAAATGGATGTTTCTCATAATGGTGCAAGGAACATGAACCTGATTCCCTCTCTGACACTCCTGGTTCTTTGGCCACACAATGTAGAATCCTTGTAGAAAAGGAAAACTGGTCACTCCATGTTCACTCAGCAATAAACAGTGAAAGTTCTTTACCGCGGGGCGGGAGGAGAGAAACGCGACACACAGACTTTTCAGGCCCTCAGTCCACACAGGTAAGAAACGGAAGATGTCATCATTGAAAAGGGGGCGGAAGGCAGAATTTTTAAAAAGCATTTGGCCAGAAAATTCCCCATTACTAAAGATGAAAGAGTTAAGTATTCATATTACACAGGATAATTTTCTTGGAAAGGTGAAAAATCACTTAAAATACACAACACTGAGGAAAAATATAACGTTTATTAGAGAGGCAGATACGAGGGTACAACTAGAAGATGCCAGACAGATTCTTTTCTTTTAGGATAAGAATAGAAAGAAACAATCATTTTGGCCACATTAAAACAAAACTTACTCAGAACCCAAGTGTTTATAATAAACTCAGTGCAGAGCAGCCGGCAGGAGCCTCGCTACCAGCTACCGGCGCAGGAGGCCATGCGGCTTCCCAGCAGTTACGAAAACAAAAAGGTCATTAGGCAGCAGAATCACCAATAAAACAAACAGATAAAAGAGTAAAACGTGAAATCAATTAAGTCAAGTACTCCTTTTAGTTTTTAAATTGCAGTATATACAAATATATTCTGTGGAGGGAATTGCGGACATGTTTAACAGAAAGCAATTTGAAAAAACAAAAACAAAACCACAAAAAAAGAAAGTCACAATCCAGTTGACCAATTGGAAGTTACTCTAGTCTAAATAGTTCGGTGATTATTAAATAAGCACGTTGTAGACACCACACACACACACACACACACACACAGTGCACGGCATTACTGAACATACAACAAGCGCTCCCGGCTACGGGCAGCAGACAGCAGCAGCCCTGCTCAGGCTGGAGGCATCTAAGGGTGTTTCCGGGGAGGTCGGACAGATTCGTACGGAAGGTCGGGAGGAAAGGCTTCTACATACATTTTATTAATCTCTCAGCGTAGCTGTCAAGTAAAAGGGGAAAACTTGATCAACAGCTGAGATTTTGCTTCTTTTATTTTTAACAGAGAACTGTTGGAAGAAAACTAGTATACTTGGGGTGGAAGTGGAGATTCCTGACTCTTTGGGAATTGTTCCAACGTTTTCTAATACTTCACGCATGGACTAAATGGAACCGAAACTACAAAATATCTTCACTGTTTAGTCAATATTATATAGATTCATCTGTTATAGTTACTGAGGCATACAGCTTAATAATTGTAAATTTATGTGTCCAAACCAACATCCCCTCCTCACAAACCAAGTGGGCTATTTTCTGAATCAAATTTGCATAACTCTAAAGAAAAAAAAACACAACTTGACAGAATGCCCTATTTTCAGAGCAGGTTTTTGAAAGGCTAATGTTGTTTTACCCCATTTTAGACTTTTTCAGCGTCTAGTTGGCTTTCCCCGTAGTACATGGGCTGGAAATGAGTTCATCATCGGATAGAAAGGTCAGATTTTAGTATCTTAGGTCTCCTGTTCACTTGGTTACGCACAGAAAGCTGGAAACTTCCTACTGCTCATTAAAACTAATCCCTGTTGTCAAAGGGTCAGCTGATTTTCTTTTCTTGCTGCAATTCTTACAAAGGAGAACTGAAACACTCCCCCCAAAGAGGCCTGGGGTCAGGAGGAGTGGCTTTATGGATATTATGTAAGGAAAAGTATTCCAAAGAAATTTTAATTACAAAATTCACATATATTTTAAAAATCATGCTGACCAACGATGGCTTCCTGCTTTTGATACGGCGCCGTAGCTGTGTAAGATACAGCCACTGGGGAAACAGGTGCAGGCTGCCTGGGACCTCTCTGTACTGTCTTTGCAACGCCCGCGAGTCTGTCATTATTTCCAAATGAAGAGTGTGTTTGAAAAAAAATCAGGCTGTCGTTAAGTAAAGATGACTAAATTCCATTTTGGCGGCCCTTGTGAAATTTAAGGGAATTTACTGCTGGAATCTTAAAACACAGCAACAAGCACCTATCACTCCTGCCAGGTTCTAGAGCCTGGATGTGCAGCTATCGCTTTGAAAAAGCAGCTCGAAATTTACTTGAGCTTATAAAATAAGGCAAGAAGCTAATTTCCTACTTAAAAGTAAGAAGGACACACATAAAGAATTTTCAAAGTCAAATTAAAAGAGAATCTTAACCCAACACCTTCATTCTGACCCATGTATAACTGGTTCTCTGTGATCTCGGTGTAGATTCCAGCAATGGACACAGTCAAATTCTGGGCTTGGTAACCGTCACTCCTTAGTGCCAATTTAAAAATGTAAATTCCCAAGTGGCCCAGATTCTTTAAAGATGATGAAACATTTTATTTTAATCTGGCTACAGTTAATTATATAAAATGAGCCAGACATTCTAAAACAATTTCCAGGAAATTCAAATATTGCCAATGATTTAAAAAAAAAAAAACCCCTTTGAAAAGTGACGTGCCTGTGTGTAGAAGCAGCTGCTGCCATACCAAGCTCTATTTACAGCCCCGCCTGGGCAAGTCTGAGCTGAGTATGCTCTACTTGCCACAAAACTCCAATAGAACCAACTGTGAGAAAACCACAGCCACAGGGAGCTGGGGCGTAGCCATGACCTGCTTTCAGATAAGCTGATCTGGACGGCACTGGCGTATCTGATCAACTGTCGATTTGGTGGAGCTTGGAAGATCAGTAATGTCTTGTGAAAATCAACTGGCTAATTGACCAAATTTTTCCAGATTTCAATTGGGTGTTTGGGATCATATAGACATTATCGGATGATCACGATGATCTAACAATGATTTAACCCTGTTTAAGTAAAAATACATACTTTGGGACCAATATAAGAATCTTATTTACTTCTTTACTCAAGAAGGGGGACATTTTATTCTAATTATGACTTCCTCCCAAGTGAATGATTATAAAATTTAACAAACTAGCATAGTTTAATTTATTAAGTTACAAAATGTAACCTCCTAACATAACTCAATTTATGGTGGACACCAGATAGAAATGAGAGAACTGCCCTCTTCTGCCCCCACGTGACATGTGTGGGCTTTTTAATTCAGAAATATTGATCAGAAGTCAGAATGCAACTTTGTTATCTACAGATGCTGCCAAAGGAAGAAATGCTTATCGGTTTTGAATGACACGGTTGTAAATTGGCAGTTGGCAGCTTTCCACATAAAATTTCACCAGCGAGAAACTTGGTCACAGTCAAACCTAGACAAGGCAATTCAGGCGCAGGGAGCCTGCGAGTCCACCGGGAGACTACACGGAACACGCCCGCGGCGCTCTCCGTCCAGGCTCGTGAAGAACTGCCTGTAACAGCCACAGTTGTGGGAAGAAACAACTCCAATTTTTTAAAGTTTTTTCTAAGTGGTATTAAATATAAGTCTTAGCACCTTTGGCATTTTTGTCCAAATAGACTTCAACGTATGAAGTGGGGACGTAACCCTCTTCATCTTCATTTCTCCGAATGCGGGTCCACCCGTCACCTTTGTCTTCCTCTATGACATACAGTGTTTCTCCTTCAACTACAGAGATGGTTCCTTCATTCTGACCTGAAAAAGCAATATTGGAATCGTTTAGGGGTCTTGTCAAATTCAGGTAGAAAGCAAGCAGCGATCTTTGTGATGGATCGAGTGCAGTAAAAGATGAGGCCTGGCCGGGTGTGGTGACTCACGCCTGTCATCCCAGCACTTTTGGGAGGCTGAGGTGGGAGGATTGCTTGAAGGCCAGGACAAGACCAGCCTGAGCAACATAGCGAGTCCCCATATCTACAAAAAGTGAAAAAATTAGCTGGGTGGCGCACGCCTGTAGTCCCAGCTACTCAGGAGGCTGAGGCAGGAGGATCCCTTGAGCCCAGGAGGTCGAGGCTGTAAGTGATCTATGATTACGCGACAGAACAAGACTCTGCCTCAAAAAAAAAAAAAAAAAAAAAGATGAGGTCTGTACAGAACTCATCCCCCTTGGACCTCTGAGATGCACTGACCCCTCACTCTGCCCTGACACTGCCTCCCCCACACGTGAACTCCCAGGTCTCCCTAGGGACCCTTCTCTAAGTCCTGCAGAATGGCAAGTACGCCCCCCCGGGGTGAATCCTGTCTCTCTTGGAGGGACAGTGGCCCCATGGCTTCAACTGCACCCCTCTAAACAGCGTCCTCACATCTCTTTCTCCTACTCTGTCATTTTTCTGCAGCGAAGATTCCTCCTTTCCTAGTACCTGCGGTGCACTTCCACCTTGATGTGGCCCCACACTAGAAATGCAACATGAGTGAACCTGAATTCATTGTTTTTCCTCCCAAGCTAGGTCCTCCTTCTGCTCCCCCATTTCTTTGGACACTCCATTGTCCCAGGAATGCAACTTGGGACCCATGTTTGATTTCCTCTCCTTTTCTTTTCCAACTTCCAACCAGCCCTGAAGTTTAACTTCGGTGTCTCTGTTGTGTCCTTAACTGAGGCCCCCCCACCAGGCCATTTGCTAAGATCGTACAAAAGCCACCACTCCCCAAATAGTTTTCAGGAAGGCAAATTATTTTTTTTGTTTGTTTGTTTGAGACAGAGTCTCGCTTTTGTTGCCTGGGCTAGAGCGAGTGCCGTGGCGTCAGCCTAGCTCACAGCAACCTCAAACTCCTGGGCTCAAGCGATCCTCCTGCCTCAGCCTCCGGAGTAGCTGGGACTACAGGCGTGAGCCACCATGCCCGGCTAATTTTTTATTTCTATTTTAGTTGACTTGCTAATTTTTTCTATTTTTAGTAGAGACGGGGTCTCACTCTTGCTCAGAGCTGGTCTGGAACTCCTGAGCTCAAGCGATCCTCCTGCCTCGGCCTCCCAGAGTGCTAGGATTACAGGCGTGAGCCACCCCGCCAGGCCCAGGAAGGCAAATTATTTAGAGAGCTGTTAACAGGGAAAGCAGGGAGTGAGAGGGCAGAGGAGGGCGGGGGAAGAGGGTGCTTAGATGTGAAGTAAAACTGGGAACATTTAACCTGGCAATTCTTTCTTGTTTTGTCACAATCAACATTTAGTCTGTTAAAGGTTCTGAAAAGTCCTGTGGTAAAGAAATCTGTAAAATCCATTTATCTCAGGGCTTCCAAGACTTACTCGAGCTCTGATAGCTTTTTTTTTTTTTTTTTGAGACAGAGTCTTACTGTGTTGCCCGGGCTAGAGTGCTGTGGCATCATCCTAGCTCACAGCAACCTCTAACTCCTGGGCTCAAGCGATCCTCCTGCCTCAGCCTCCCGAGTAGCTGGGACTACAGGCATGCGCCACCATGCCTGGCTAGTTTTTTCTATATATTTTTAGTTGTCCAATTAATTTCTTTCTATTTTTAGTAGAGATGGGGTCTCGCTCTTGCTCAGGCTAGTTTCGAACTCCTGAGCTCAAACAATCCGCCCGCGTTGGCCTCCCAGAGAGCTAGGATTACAGGCGTGAGCCACCGCACCCAGCCTCTGATAGCTTTTTTCACAGCGTCCTCGTTAACACTCTCGGACGTGGTGTGCAGGCTCGTCAGTTTAGAAACACTAGGCTAGTCTTCCTGCCCACCCTCCCTGTTTCCTAACTGATCCTACATGTGCCAATAAATCCCTAAGGATACAGGAAATGTTGTGTTATTCTTGCGGCCTTGATATTCAGGGTGAATTGTAAGATATAAATTTTTATGAGATTTCAAAGATTAAGACTATTTTAATAACATTATTTACAGATTTAAAAGATGTGGTTATCACAAGTCTGTTGAGGCGGAAAACTGCATAAAATAACTAACGTGGAATAAATATTCTGCATCAGTTAAAAAAAGAAATCTCCTAAGGTACAGCTCTGTGCACACCCACACTCGCTCAGGTACTTTCAACGGCTCCTCGACGTCTGCCAAATAAAATCCAAAGGTTCTCTTATCCCCCTGCCCCAACAGTGGCACTTGCCACTTTCTATGGGCGTCTTCCACTATGACCACTTGAGACCTCTGAGCTCTGGCCACACGACCCCCATGTTGGCAGCACCCAGGCCATGGCGGGTTGTCCAAACTTCCTCAAGGAAGTGGTCTCATTCTCCCGTGAGCTCCCCGTCACTCTGGAGCCCTCCTCGGGTAAACACTGCAAGCTGTCCTCCTGATTTCCCCATGGGCAAGTGCCCCGCCACACCGCCTACGTCCCACCCCTTCTCTGGCCTTGACGAGACAGATGCTCTGTAAGTATTAAATGAATGGTGATGACACAACTATTATTCCATCCCTAGGAAAAAAATACTATTCCATTTCCTCCACTCTGAAAGCTCTTAAATTATACAAATCAAAGTTAGAATACACAGCCATCAACCAAATAATAGTAACAGGTTTTGGGAGGCTGAGGGGGGAGGATTGCTTGATGCTAGGAGTTTGAGACCAGCCTCGGCAACATAGCAAGACCCCGTCTCTACAGAAAAAAAAAAATTAGCCAGGTGTGGCCGCATGCGCCTCCAGCCCCAGCTACTCGGGAGGCTGAGAAAGGAGGATCGCTTGCGCCCAGGAGTTCAAGGCTGCAGTGAGCTAGGACCTCACTGCTGCACTCCAGCCTGGTGACAAAGCGAGACCCTGTCTCTAGGAAAGTACTACTATGAGTAGGACAAAGGCATGGCTGAGAAAGAGCTGCCAGGCTTCTGAGGAAAGGTCTGGTCACAGAAAGAGAAGAGTGACTCAGACACAGTTTATAAAAGGCAGGGGAATCCAGCTGACATGAAGTGTCACCTTCAAACGTGTAGAGAGCTTTGCAAGTCCCTATGGCAGGAAGGGGCTCCTCGTCATCAAACTCGTCATCGAAATCCGTGGCCAGCACTTTCACCTCACTCTCCTGGCTTTGCTCCTCTGTGTAACTGCCATCTGGGCTGCTCAAGAAAGGAAAACACACAGCAACTATAGCGACCGACCCCCCAGGGAGGACTCGAGTTTAGTCCTGGGACCGCATGCAACCCCCTCCAGTGTTGTCATTAAGACTGTTTTAAATCATCCCACACGCTTAGATCACCACCCATGTTCAATTATAAATCTGCACCATGGGGAGAATCAGAGGTCAATCCTAACAGATATGTTGGCATCTAACAAGTGCCTTATGCTCATTTCCAAATTCTGGAATTTAGAAATGAATGCAAAGCAAATTTCCTCTGCCAGAGCGCAGGCGCCACACAGATACTGTACCTCTCCCGGTCTTGTGCGCAGTTGTTGACCGTTGGTGGGTTCTGGCTGTCGTACAGGCCGCTCTGCCGCCGGGCCTGCTCGCTGCGTGCGGGGAGTCGACCTTCAACCTCAGCCAGCCAGGCCTGGAAACAGAGCAATGAAAGACGCTGGCCTAAGTTCACCTGAAGCCCAGACTATGGAGTCTTAAGGCTGCAAATGCAGGGGCTGCTCCTCGGTCATTTAAACTGATGCAAGAAGGTCCACACGGGGACAGAGTGTTTATGTCACCCACATTCAACCGTATGGATGTACTCAAAGGTAGCTGCTTCGATTTCACTCGAAGTTGGAGAAGTGGAAGCAAACTCATGTTTATGCAATTGCCCACTGCGTGGCAGAAAGAACACTGTTCTGTTTTATACCCTTGTGCTTTACGCAGCCGAGTGATCTTGGATAAGTCTTTTCTAGTTCCTTCTGTTTCCAAAAATTCTGTGATCATGAGGTCACCCTGGGATACCCGAGCGTACAGCCACACTTATGCACTGACTCGATCTGAAAGCCACACTTCCCATTTTTCAGGAGTGCAGCACAATTTTTTTTAGTAGTGATTAAACCTGTACGTAGGAAATCGAAGTGGATAAAATTATCTTCAGCATTATTTGAAATAGTTTAAAGAAGGCAAAGGAATAAAAATGATCAGAAAAGGATATTTCTAGGTTTCAAAAGCTCAAAGGAACATTAATAACTTAGTGATGGATTCTAAAAAGAATGAAAAAAAAAGCCATATTTGACCCTTCATTGCTAGAAACAATCTATTCCAATTAGAATCAGCAGTTGCTAATTTATTTTTCCATGCTCTCTAAGTCTCTTTTTTTTGGAGACAGGGTCTTGCTCTGTCACCCAGGATAGAGTGCAGTGGCATCACCCTAGCTCACAGCAACCTCAAAGTCCTCGGCTCAAGCGATCCTCCTGCCTCAGCCTCCCAAACTGCTGGGATTACAGGACTGAGTCACTGCCTCCAGCCGCTCTTTAGTCCTTAAATCTGGTGGGGGTAGTGGGTTTATAGCTTTTGAGTGTTTCTCTCTTTCCCTAACACGTTTATTATTTGTGTTTCCTACCTATTTTTACACATATAACCTTTCCATAATAGGTCCTCTGAAAGAATGATAACATATTTCAGTTGATTTTTTTTCATTGCCTTTTTGAATCACTAAGCTGATGGATGGCTCAATACTCCCAATTATATTAACATCAGATGAAGCAGGACAAACTTAAGCGAAACACTTAACTTAAAAGACAATACTGTATACAAATACGACTTTCGACACAGTCACTTTTAAGAGACACAATTAGAATTGGATATGCTGAAAAGCAGAGCACTGGGCAGGTAACGGTGCATTTTTTCTTTTACTGTAACCCATGGAACAGCCTGGCAGTCCCAGCTGCGACCTGCCCAACGAAAGAGCTGCTGGTGTCTGCACAGATACACGCAGAGCAGCACCTGTTCCTCTTTCTGTCGCCTTGTGTCCAACAAAGCTTTTCAACAACAGAGTTTTCATACCTCAAATTTCTGGGTCTCTAGTCTCAGTTTTTCTATATTTTGGCTGACTTCGGCTAATTTGTGATCCAAACTGGCTGGGTCTCCCATTTGAGGATTCTTTAGGTAGACATCTTTCATTTTTGTTATGGCATCTCTGAAAAAAAGAAAGGGCAGAACAGTAAAGGTTGCTGTTGTCAGCCAATTATATTCCACCGCTTTGACGGCCGTATGAACGGAAATGTGGGAAGACTGGATCTGAGCGTGGATTTGAAGGGACTACCAGGCCAGCTTTCATTCTAGAAATTCTCTATAAGAATTCTGCTACAAGGTCCGTATAATCCGGTGGTTGATTTTTATTAATACATTTCATTTGCCTTTTCTGAATGCTATTTCCCTATTATCTCCAGCAAATGAGAAACATAAATCAATCCTGCCCCTCCCTTTGCCCCAAACAATAAGGAAAACAAAGAACTCCTGAGTATTTCCATGTGTACATTCTTCACGCAAACCAAAGCTACAACCGGCATCCTGGCTCTTGTGGGTTGCAATATGTTTGCCTCATAAAGAAGCACGGTGAATTGCCTTGGAAATTTTGTTACACACCATTGCAACTGTTAAGAAACTGAATCCACAGTTGGTATCCACAACAGGCAGACAACGAGCTTTAAGCCGCATATTGCAAGACTGCACCTCTTTCCTGAAATCATGTTTTGGAAGCTGCCCCCAGGAGCCCGAGCAGGCATCCCCAGAGAAGTTTGCAGGCATGTTGGGGTTTACCTTTAGGACCAAAGAGCTCTACTAACTTTCACCCTAGCTTTAGGTACTTCCGGTAGGCTTTGAGTTGTTAAAAGTTTAGAGCAAATGACTTTTTTTTTTTTTTTTTTTTTGAGACAGTCTCACTTTGTTGCCCGGGCTAGAGTGCCGTGGCGTCAGCCTAGCTCACAGCAACCTCAAACTCCTGAGCTCAAACAATCCGCCCGCCTCGGCCTCCCAGAGTGCTAGGATTACAGACGTGAGCCACCGCGCCTGGCTGCAAATGACTCTTTGCAGAGGTAAGGAGCCAACTTTAATGTGCTTCAGCAAAATAAAATTCAAACCAATCATACAATACAAGGCCTTCAAACACACCGAAAGATATATTTTGGGTCATGGGAAATAGTTTAACTGAAAATATAGAAATAACAGGAATAGAATTTTCACAAGTCCTCACTACCCTTCTCCCTGAATACTTGTATCTGAGCCCACACATTCTGCCCCCATCCACTGGCACTGACAAACTGTCAGCTCCTCCCTAGGGTCACCCCTCCACCAGAGGGTGAGATCCACTTGGACTTCCTCCCTTCCTTCCTTTCTTCCTCCCCTCCCACCCATAGCAAGAATCACTTTCCAACATTGTGTGATTCATTTATTTTTGTGTTTATTATTTACTGTCTTTCTCCTCCCATAAGAATGGAAGCTCTTGGAGGAAGCTCTGTGAGTTCCCAAGTGTCAGGACAGTCCCTGGCACATAGTAGATGCTCATTAAATATCTGTTGACTGAACAAATATTTTTACAAGAAGCAGACTGTGATGCTATCCTTATCATGCACTTTACAAAATCCCTCTCTTGACTCCATGGCAGACACCTCCCTCCAGCCACCTCCCTATTTCTTAGCAAAACTCAAAAGAGTTGAACCAACTTTTGGATCTGTTGGTCCTCTCTGTTGAATTGTACATTTTCAAATTTAATTCATTTATGCTGTTTCTTTTGTTATTTCCTCTCTTCTATTTTCTTTGGGTTTGATTTGGCTATTCTTTTTACAACTTTTTTTTTTTTTTTTTGAGGCAGAGTCTCACTCTGTGCCTGGGCTAGAATGCAGTGGCGTCTGCCTAGCTCACAGCAACCTCAAACTCCTGGGCTCAGGCGATCCTCCTGCCTCAGCCTCCCGAGTAGCTGGGACTACAGGTGCACACCATAATGCCCAGCTAATTTTTATATTTTTAGTAGAGATGGGGTCTCACTCTTGCTCAGGCTGGTCTCAAACTCCTGAGCTCCAGCAATCCTCCCACCTTGGCCTCCCAGAGTGCTAGGATTACAGGCGTAAGCCACCACACCCAGCCTTTTCCTAACTTCTTAAGATGGATCCTTAGCTCACTGGTTTTTAGCTTTCTTTTCTTTTCTTTCTTTCTTTTTTTTTTTTTTTTTTTTGAGACAGAGTCTCACTCTGTTGCCCTGGCTAGAGTGCAGTGGTATCATCATACCACACAGCAACCTCAAGCGATCCTCCTGCCTTAGCCTCCTGAGTAGCTGGGACTACAGGTGCACCTCACCACACCTAGCTAATTTTTTCTATTTTTTTTTTTTTTTTTTGGTAGAGGCAGCGTCTTGCTCTTGCTCAGGCTGGTCTTAAACTCCTGGCCTCAAGTGATCCTCTGATCTTAGGATTGCAGGCATGAGCCATGGTACCCCTCTTTTTAATTTTTCTTTTTTGAGACAGGGTCTGGCTCTGTCGTCCAGGCTAGAGTGCAGTGGCATCACCGTACCTCATTGCAACCTCAAGCTCCTGGGCTCAAGTGATCCTCCCGCCTCAGCCTCCCAAGTGCTAGGATTACAAGCATGAGCCACTGCACCTGGCCCCACTTTCTTTGTTTTTAATATGCATCCAGAGCTATAAATTTCTCTTTGTAACCATGGCTTTAATGACATCCCAGAAATTGATATGTAGAATATATGTTTAAGTTCAGTTCTGTTTCATAAACTTTCTAGTATCTATTATGATTTCTTCTTTAGTCTATGGGTTATAAAAGAGTGTATTTCTTAATTTCTAAATTTTTGTTATTGGTATCCAGCTTAATTGTAGAGTTCAGATAATATACCTTGAATGATATCTACCCTTTGACGTTTGTTGAGATTTACTTTATGAAACCAGGATATGCGCAGTTTTGGAAGTGTTCTTATGTGGGCATGAAAAAAATGTGTACACTGCAGTTGTGAGATGTATGTTTTACTCATTGTATTATTCAAATATTCTATACTTTGATTAGATTTTTTTATTTTCCTGCCTGTTCTATATCTTTTCCTCTCCTTTTCTTGCCTTTTCAAAATTGATTTTTTTAAAAAAATCCCAGATCATGCTAATTTTCTGCTCAAAGTCTTTTTATTTATTTTGTTTTTCCTGCGCAAAATATAAGTTGCCCAAGAACAAAGGTTTTTGTACGTTTGGTTCATTGCTTTATCCTCAGTGCCTAGAATACTTCCTTGCACACAGTGAGTGTTCAATAAGCAGTTGTTAAGTGAATAGCTGAACGATTCACCTTATTACCAGCGAGGGCTGTCGCAGAGTTTCAAAGGTTAACCAGGTTCCACGGCCACAACTCAAATGACAGAGAAAACTGTCTACATGATATTGGACAATTAGAAAGAAAGGGTAGCTCTGTTCTAAGTCTGTCAACAACCTCTAAAATGTCATTTCGAATACTCAAATCCTAACTTCTTATTCCTGTAGAAAATATAACTGCTCATTTATTAAAAAGCATGCAGTTTATAATACATTAACCCTTTTTATATTTGGTTCCAGATGTAATAAAAAGTACAAAGCAAAATTTCCATTTTATGAAGTATATTTCTAATACGAAACTAGAACAAAATCAATTACATGTGTTCCTACATTTTATATGCTATAAAAATGTTTATAAAACAACCTATTTTTAAAGGAGTTGCTCTATTGGGATAAAAGAATTTAAAAAACCCAGACTTTTCTGTTGCATGCACTTAACTTATACTGCCTTACCAATGTTGGCTGGAGGCTTATTTTTTGCATAACCAAATTTTAACCCAGCTTCAATATAACTAAATTGTATGTAGGATCACCATTTGACCTATTTATTGAGAGCACAAACTCTCAAGTTATCTTTTAAGTTCAAATCTCAAAAAAAATCAATGACTCACCTAATTCACTCAGTGAGAACACATAAACTAAGAGCCAATAAAGTGGCTTTTCAATCAGGATTATTAGCAAACATCCCCAAAATGATGTGAAAGTACTATAGGATACAAATGTGGGAAGAGAAACTCAAGTGAGAAGAGACAGTAAATCTGTTGTACCTTTTTTTTTTGGCACGTGCACCAACCTACCACGCCTAAGAGCAAACTTGCAAAACAGCTCAGAAATCTGGGAACCCTGCAGCGGGAGCCTCCTGCAGTGGAGCATCCGATAAGACGTCCTGTGATTTGTTTTCTAGACACCATCGATACACTCTATGAAAAGCCTCGAGAACCTACTCCAGGAAGCTGTTGTGTACTTGTCCTCAAATAGAGGAAGGAACTTTTGGACCCAAAGCGAGGATGTGGGGCGAGGGACAGGGTGACGGCCATGCTGCTTTTCTCCTCCTCATCTGTGCAAATAAGCCCCTATTCACTCTTGATAAAAGAGAGCCAAAGGTACTTTGCTCCTCAAACTCTGAATAAAACCTACTTGTAAATAGGGATCTCACAGAGCATAATAAAGCGATTCAGTAAACTATCTGAGACAAAACACACCGTGAAAATCTCTATTAAATCTATTTAAGACCTCCCCTCTCTCCAAACTGAATGTGAATTTCTTCATAAGTCATGCTGATCCACTATACCTTTGATCCATCTCCTTTTGAATTTCTTTATTTAGTTCACAGACTTTCTGCTGTAGCTTCTTCCTTCTTTGTTCAGGTGGGAGGTTGCTAAAATCCTCTGGTGTCGTGCCCTGCAGATGCAAATACAAATGAGAAGCCAGAAGGCCCGGAGGTACTCCTGGATAGAAGATCCCAAGCAAAGCCTGCAGACACAGGAGATGCAGCCGTCTGCATGTGGCTTCACAAAATAAATTAAGCCCTTTCCCATACACCCAGCTGAGACGCAAAAATCAATGCATGCAAACTGCAGAAGTCCCGCAAACCATCCCATACTCCATTTACACTGGCCGAGACGCCTCTGAAAAGGCAGGGGCAATGCCCCAGGAAGGAGAGAGAGGAAGAGACACTTCTGACTCCAGTGAGAATCCATGAAAAACAAATTTTGAGCCAGATTCTTCTTCATTTCCTTACAAAGTGTTACCGTCAGTGTCTGGGGCAACACTGCCGCGTTAGGGAAGTTTACGTTTCCTAAATGGGATCCCATCAATGCTGGGCTCCGCGTCCGGCTATTCCCCAAGTCTGAGTATTTCTTCCTGTCTCTGCATAAGAGGCCGAGGCCAAAAGTTTCCATCCCTGTGAAGTGACAGCTGGGACACCACGTTCCTCAGAGAATGTGGGTGAGAAGAACATTTGAAAATATACCTCCCTCCCCTGTCCCCATGCCCGCTTCCCTAACCTCTGAAAGGCTGGTCACTTCTTTTTGGCACCTTTAGGGTGGTCCCCGAGGATCCAGATAGAATGCCCTCCCGACCTCAAAATCAACTTCCCACAGTGTGCAAAACTGACCTCTCCTGGGTTCAAACTGTCAGAAGAAGTGTATTTCAAAATCTCAATTCCCTTTTCAAAAGCAATTGTTGTCTTTCTGTGTAAGTGCTTTGAGCAGAAAACATCAACAGCGAGTCTCCAGACTTCGGCCTATGCTTACTCGTTAGAAAGCTGTGGCTAAGTTGTGGTATCACGTGCTTTTACTTAAGTGAAGCTATTTTCATAAAGAAAGAGAAATTTATTCAACTAACCAGGGATAAGCCAAGGACTTTAGAAAAAAGATTTTTCTTTAAAACCCCAATTCCTGGCCGGGCGCGGTGGCTCACGCCTGTAATCCTAGCACTCTGGGAGGCCGAGGCAGGCGGATCACTTAAGGTCAGGAGTTTGAGACCAGCCTGAGCAAGAGTGAGACCCCCTCTCTACTAAAAATAGAAAGAAATTATCTGGACAACTAAATATATACATATATATAGAAAAAAAAATTAGCCGGGCATGGTGGCACATGCCTGTAGTCCCAGCTACTCGGGAGGCTGAGGCAGGAGGATCGCTTGAGCCCAGGAGTTTGAGGTTGCTGTGAGCTAGGCTGAAGCCACGGCACTCTAGCCCGGGCAACAGAGTGAGACTCTGTCTCAAAAAAAAAACAAAAACACCCAATTCTTTTAAAACAAGGGCAAGACTGGCTTGGGGCTGGGTAGAAAGAAGGGACCCAGTTAACATCATTCCAGAATCAAGCTGAACTTGCCAAGTAGCTTACATGGGGGCTTGTGATTGAGTCCCTGGGCTGATTATCATAAAATACTAGGCTTGCTGTGCTGGGAAGTGTGTGATTCAGCAAGAGTTGAACACAAAGGCCACGCAGAGACCTTTCAGCTAATGTTCTCAAAGACGCACCTGTAAGACACACTGGTTGCTTTCACTCTAGTGCATGCCTATGTGTGCATGTGTGTGTGTGAGAGAGGAGAGAGGATTTGAGTGGAACCAGAATGGAAGAGCCTACTTCTTATATCACATGAAAGAAGATTAATTTGACTCTAAAACTAATATGAAGCAAAACTAATCTTCAGTATAAAAATAAATAAGATTTATTTTTTCTTTTCCATATACAATCGTGTTAAAATATTTGAAACCTGAGCTATTATTGGCTTTTCAATTTGTTCAATTCAATCATTGAGGTCAAAAGAAAACAGTTTGTGCTCATGCTGAATTTACTTCAAAGAGATCAGCACTGTGATAGTATGACATATATATACGGGTTTTGTACCCAGTTCCTGGCTCCCATAACCCTGGTTACGGTCTTCTGCTATAATGCTGGGTGCTTAAGCAGGCCTCAGAAAACCGAATCTCTCTGACCTTTCCTTGCCCATCTTTCACCTGCCCAAGGCAGGACGCGAATCTGATTGCGGTCACAAGACCCTCATTCTAGAGAGGGGCCTGCCCCGTAGCCTGGATGAAGGATGCTGCACAGACAGGCCTTGCTGGGCTTCCCCACTCGGTATCTGTAGATCGTACACTTTTTGTCCTGTCACTTTCCAACACGGCTGTCCATGCTTCAACCATGCCTAGCCAGTGACGCCTCCCTAAAAGGTCCAAGAGGACAGGGTCTGGGGAGCTCCAGACAGCTGAACACGTGGAGGTTCCTGGAGGGTGGCCCCATCCCCATACCTCACCCTGGGCATCTCTTCATCTGTATCCTTTGTCATATCCTTTATAATAAACCAGTAATGTAGGTGTTTCCCTGAGTTCTGTGAGCCGCTCTAGCAAATTCATCAAACCCAAAGAGGGGGTTGTGGAAACCCCAACTTGGAGATGGTTTGTCAGAAGTTCTGTATGTATATACCTATCCACATATAAATGTGTACATAAAAATCACCATAAAATACTGTCCTAGGCTATCGACAGCAGTGCACACACTGCTGATCTCGCTCCTGGTTGAATCGCTACAGTTCATCATTGTCTATTATTTTAGGATATTCTCAACTGTAGCATTTGAGAAGACTATGCAACTCTTATACATATTTGGAGTATAGTTATGGGTTATGTTGGTTAAGTTTTCTTTTAATAAATTTAATGATTAGTTTGTCTACTAGGACTATACAATTAAGTAGAAACAACGCAAAACACTAAGTAAATAGTTCTAAAAAGGCCTAGGAGGCTCCTTTTACTGTCCGTGGAATCATTCTATGGCCTCTTGAGTCAGCTATGTGCAAGGTACCAACGTACGTATGTAGTAGCTGGAAGATACCACATTCTTCCATTCTCGCAGGCTGCCCGAGAGCTGAGCAGCTGCTGCAGGCTGGAATCATTACTGCCTGTCTCCTCCTGGTTCCCAGAGTTTTTCATTTACTTCTGTGGCTCCCAGAGAGGAACATTATCAAATTTACTTTTATTCAAAATGTTCCAATAAATATCTCCTCAAGATTTAATATTTATAGAGACAATTTATCAACATTTTTCATCCTCTTAAGGCCCCAATAATAAAGAAAACCAAGTCATGAGTTAAGTGTTAATTTTCTTAGCAACTTGAAAAGATTAAGATCACCTCTATGAGATTCCAGACCTTTGTATTCCAAAGGTCTGATCAAGAAACACCAACAAAGCACACATAAGAGAAACACAAATCAACAGTTAACTTGGAAGGTCTGGTGCGCAGGGCATGGCATCCACAAACACACCAAAAACCTGATTAGACTCAGGACATGCAGGAAATAATTGTGCTTACCAGCTTGAGAGAAAGCTTCATGGAAAAATTGAAGAGGTAACAGTAAAAGGAGAGAGAGAGAAAGAAAGAGAGAAAAAAAACAACACATCAGAATAAGAGGAATGTGGTCAGTTCCACCATATTAAAATAAGACATAAATTCACCTGTTGACTTATGAAAATGACTTGTAGCAGATCTGTGCAAAAGTTCACAAGAAAGGCTGGTCCCTAATGAAACATTTTTGAGGCTGCCACGTTGCCAGAGCAAAGATAGCAAAGGAGAGCCTCTGCTGCAATTTTGTACTGCTCGCCTCAGCCTCGACGTAAACTAAACCAAGTGTGCAGTTGGTGCTATATAATGACTGTAAAAGACAAATATAATCACAAAGCCCGGTTCATTAAATTTCCCGTGGAAAGTTTTACATAAACTAAAGAGAATCTGAACACCAATTACTTCCATGACATACATGCAATATTTTTATCTTAAGGAACATGGACATTTCTTAAAGGCACGAGGCAAACTCTGAAATTGGTGAATGGGTAACCAAAGACTAGAAGGTGCTCTAAGAAACTACGGCCAGTGCCACAAAGCCTCTCAGCACAGGCTAGAAGAAGAGACAGTGCTTCCTCCCACCTGAGAACCAGCGACCTTCGCCGGAGGGGACTTTCAGGCTTTCCACGGAGCTCTGTGCCCTCTCCACAGGGGCTACGCAGCATTTGGAGAATTATTAGGAGTAAAGGTATTGTGATTATTGGACCCCAAACAGAGTAAAGGGTATCTCAAAATTAGAAAAAGAAACATCTGGCTCTTCATTAACAGGTGAGACCTGCTCCATGGCTATAAAGCAGTACTTTGAGAGTTCAGTGCATGATCCTCATGTAGCTGCCATCAATACTAAAAGTTCAGGCAATGTGTAGTAGGATCCAAAAATACTTTGGAGATAAAGTAGTAAAGAACGTGCCCTTTGATTTTGAACTGGGTAGGTGCAGGGCCATTTAAAACTTCCTTAACTGAATTTTTAAAATTTAGTTCTTAAGATTGACTCAAAAGTTGATACTTCTTTGTAAATAGAGAATAACTTTTTTAAAGAAATTGTCCCTATGAGGAAAAACAAGATTTTTAAGGAAAGAGGTAGCAAGACAAACTTTTTGGGGAAAAAAAAGGTATTTACAGTCACACTCCTAACTTCTTTGATGTGGGCAGTCTACAACTATTTAAGCCCTCCTGTGAACTTTAGCATAGATCTATTCATCGCAATTTGAGTTTGTCATACATACAGACAACACTTATGGCGCACAGCAGAAAACTTTCCAAACATCTTTCCTACAAGGCACACTAACATATACAAATATTCTCTCACACATTATTATCTAAACATTGCTAATTCAAATAACCAACATTTCAACTAGGTACACTATTTTGCTATTTGGCTACTTTTGTTACTTGAAATTATATATTCTTTGTCAAGCATCCCAAACACAGAATTCTAACATCAAAATATTGTATAGGAAGATTACCACTTCATAATAAAAACAAGTCATTAGGATTGAATATAAATCCCAATAGAAATAGGAAATACCAAATTCTCAGGCAAATCCAATTTTCTGAAGTGGACAATGGCAGTCATCTACAAGAAGCACAGTATAGGGAGTTCTTTTTTAACAGTTATAAACTGGTTTCCAGTCTTAAGTTGTAAGCCAACCAATTAGCTCACTTAAAACTAGAAAGCTAATCATTGGCTAAAAGAATAATTTTGCAGATTCCATTAAGTACATTGCTAGACACCTGAAGAATTAAAAAGCTGTCAGTTCCAGGCGACAATCAAAGAGCCTTGGGAGCCACAGGCATCAATAACACATGCGGGACACAGAGCTAGCGAGTCCATGTGTTATTGGACAGTCACAGGTACTAACCTCAAGTACAAAGAAAGGGGACAGTGAGAATAAATATAGAAGTGTTTATATTTAAGTAAAATCGTTCTACTACTCTATGAAATTGCTCATGCTTCATTGATTTCCTTTTTCTTTTGTTCTCCGAGTGTTCTGGCGTAATTCCCTTATAGGTCCATTTGTTACAAACATGGATGAGGATAATCGTGCCACACAACTGCCGTCTGCAAGAGCGTCATTCTCCTGTGACCACGCTCTGCGGCCGTCTTTCATGGGTGGGATTTTGCTGTAAAATCATACCCAACAACATCTCGGACAGCAGTCACAATCCCTTTAAAGACTTTGCCAGAACTAGAATGAAAAGGGAAAATAACAACAAGCTCAGCTCACTGATGTTATTAGAAAGTTTGATTATTATTAGGAAGTTTGGTTCCTTTTTTCATGCAAGTTTTCCAGATGAAGTAGCCTAAGGTTGAATTTATACAGTTAGACTTTTTTTTTCCTGCTGTCCAGTTCTCTCAATTAAGAATTTCATTTCGTGCTGCGGAAGCATAACAGCGTGCACCTGGGTCCCCAGTCTTGGTGCTCGGAATGGGGTTAGTGGCTGTGCCGTGACTGCATGACCTGGCCGTCACAGGTGAACTTACAACATAGTCCCTAGCCTCAAAGGCATACGTGGGTTTCCCTATTGTCCTCTTCATGAGTTCTTTGTGAAAACAGAAAGATTGAGTCTGCCAATAACCAGCAAGAAAACAAGATAAAATAAATAAAATTAAAGTAAGCATAAGACTTTAACATCTGACAAACAATTGGTAAGGATCTTCAAAATTTTTTGATCAACTTTGATGGTATTTTTCCATACAATTAAAATATGGAAAAAAATGTCCATATTTTAGATATAGAAATCTCTGACACAGGCCAGAAAATGAAATCGTAATTTAAGGCAATAAAATAACATTTTGTAGATTGCAAATTGGCAACATACTGTCTAGTTTCATTTTTCTTTGATGTATGTAAATATGAAATAATGGTTAATGCTCTGGTGGCATCTTTAAAGATGTTCAGTGAAACAAAATTTTCTTACAAATGTCAACAGCTTACAACAAAAAATATTTCACCGAGTTTAATTATTTAGAAACAAAATCAGCTATGCGGAGAAGTATTTGTATAGGACTTATATACTCTGATAACAGAAACAAATTATTGAAACTGAATCCAAAAGTTGCAAAACATGATAAGTTAAAAGGCATAGATTTGCTATTCTTTTAGGAACTTTCCTAATTAAATTATCTTAGGCATAATAGTCTTTTTAAATATATTTTTTAATTTGCCTCCATTCCCTGATGATGAGACATAATTGTCTTAAGTTAAAAAGTAGAATAAATGAAATGGTAGCAAGGACTGTATCATTTTGGTCATGGAGCCTGTAAACCATGCACCTTCTATGTTGAGATTGCTTAAGAGTCAAATCTATTTCTCCAAACTATAGATTTGTTTTTTGAACTTTTTTCTTTTACACTGCTACTTCCTGGAGGAAAGAACAGCAAATCTGACCCTCAGTAAGAACAGATGGACCAGAAATGAAGGATATTTTTCTACCTCTTTACTAATGCTGCTAATGGGTATATATATGTGGTTTACCCTCAGGAAAACATAATCACCATTTAGGAAATTTTTCTTAACAAAGATTTGCTGAGCAGAGATTTGAGGAGTAGGAAATAAAATTCATATTGCTGATTATGGTTAAAAAAAGGGATCTTCTGTAAATCATCAAAATAACTAGTTTCCCATTTCATGGTTTTTTTAAGTGTTACATTTTTTCTAACCATCTTTTTCTTATACTTATTGATTACTGAATTCTTTGGTCTTTTCCTAAACATTTTTAGAATATCATGAAACACAGATTCAGAAACTATTTGTAATCAACAGACTGTGCAATGTTCAGAGACCAGAATAGACACATAAATAAATGCTAAACAATCATGAACATTCAACATAACTCATCATGACAGTCCAAAAGACAAATGCAGAGATATTTATTATAAATATAATACATGAGTGCTTTGTAAAGATTTTAGAAGTGGCAGAGGTGGGTTAGCTTATTTACAGTTAACATAAAACCTTACAGTCTAGCAAAAACACCCTTATTATATGTTGGAAATTCCTTGATGAACAATGAGTGGAGTTCTAAAATAATCAAGCTCCGACGCTGCAGCTTCCTCCGTAAGTCCTAATAATAGAGCTCAGCACAATCCATCATCCACTTGTGAAGCTATGCTCTGCCTTCTAACAATGGCTCTCTTCACATCTTTAGGAAATTAAATTTCTAATTCTTAATCTGATATTCTGGGTAGCCTTAAAACAAGATAATTCTACCAACTGTATTCTTTGCATAAAACTTTGTGATTCTCTTATTAAAGGAACTCTGCCTATAAAGAAATGTTTTGTCCCTTATTTTAAAAGGTGACAATTTATTATCATTTATAGTTATCTATTATATATTTATATTCTTTTTTACCCAAAGTACTTTTTGTGGACTCAAAGAAATATGATTGTCAGGTTAACGATGAGTACCACTATTCTCTTACTGGTAATCAGCTGTTGGTTCCAAATCTGAGAAGGACACCTCTCATCTAATTAAGAAGTTATGGTTTAGAATCTCTTCCTATATCCATGTATCAGCTGACACTCAAGAAAAAAACCAAAACTCAAGAATTTTTAGTTTAGAACTAATGCTGGGCTTGCCTTTACCTGCAAATGCAGCTTATTAGCCTAAAGACTGACATCCAGCTCTGGCTTTAGGGATAACTTAACTATGAGGCACTGCTTGGGAAGAAGTAACCCAACTCTCAGTTGGCTGTAGATCCCAGTAAACAGGAAAAATAAAAATCATGTTTGTAAAAGAAAGCATTCCACTAGAGCTGTATTACAACTCCCACGGGACAGGACTAAAAAAAAAAAACCAATCTTACTGGATATGTTAATGCACTAAATACCTCTTTGCTCTTGATTACCAAATACCATTCTTCATTAGAAAGGATAGTCTGGGAAGGCTTAGGCTAGATTGACCGCTTAGATTGATTTAGGAGGCTACAAATGACTTTATTGCAACCTTTTTCTGTAAACCAAACCGGTATCTATGTTGGATGGCTGTATCAAGCTCTGTGCCTTAAGCACATCAATCTTAATTATAACATCAAATTGGAGTCTTAATAAGATCCACTTATGAGTCCACTATAATACTTTTCCCCTGAATGTGGATGCCACAGAATCCCAGACTCTATGAACAGACTCCCTGGCTTTAAATCCCGGCTCTACATCTTCCTAACTTCGTCTTTTTATGCTTCAATTTCCCTAGCAGTAACAAAATAAGGAAATATTAGTGCCACCTAGCCTTCACAGGGTGGTCGAAAAACTGTAAATGAGCACACAGAACAGAGCAGGGCACGTAGTAAGTGCTCAATAAATGTCGACCGCTTTTATTATTTCACCCTTTAAAGGGAAATACTGAATTAGGCCTTTTCCAGTTAACAGATATTTTATCAACTTCTTATAATTTCACCAAAATAGCAAATGAAACCACTGTGACCATTCCCCTTTGAACCCTGAGGCATAGCTCAGGGAAGTGTCACACTCGCATTGCTGTAGTAATTATTAAGCGAATACTTTCTGACTACACAGTCACTTCCAATTCCTCATCTCATATGCTGCTGGTTTTAGGAATGGAATCTAAGTTTCCTTTTTTGGTAAAATCAAGGTAAAAAATTAATGACTTGGACACTTTAAAGGGGAAGTGGGGTAAAGTCCTTTCAAAATGTACCAGAGACAGAAAGAACTCTGGGCTGGCTGGCTTGCTTTCTCTTTCCTTCCATCCATCCTGCTTCCCTCTTTCTTCCCTCCTCTTTCTTTCTTCTTCTTTCTAGCTACAAAGAATCATAGGTTCCTATTTTTTTTTTTATGTTATGGGAAAACACAATGGATTCATTCACAAACAAAATAAGTTATGCAGAACAAAACATGCCACAAAGCGCTCAAGAGAGACAGGATTCCAGAGCAGAACTTACCCCACGCTTTAGGCTCCTGAAGCAGTGGATTTTGGGTTTGGAGGTCATGAACTCGTTGAAGCGGTGGGAGAGGGGTTCCTTTTGCTGCTTGGGAGACTGGGGGCCGTTGGGAACAGCAGAGGGTGAGGCAGAGGCAGGGGGAGGAGGGGGAGGCTGATGGGGGGATGTTAAAAGGGACACAAGCTACGTGTAAGAGATGGAGCAGTGATAGAGTGAAAATCAGAAACAAGAAGACACAAAACAAAAATAAGCATCAAATAATATTTGAAATCCAAAGCAAGAAAAACACAAACAATTAAATATTTAGGCCATGGTCCAAAAGAAAACATGTAGAACATGTTAAATGAAGAATGTGATGAAAGTGGGAGGTTTCGTAAGTAATGCAACAGAACAAGAGCAAGAAATAGTTGACAAGAAGCTCATGCAGACTTTCACATGCAAACTATAACTCTAATTAGTTATTCTAAACCAGTATAAGCCAGGAGGGTAAATATTTCTATACCGCCTAAACTAACATAGCTCAATGGGAGAAAATGAAAACCCTTAAATGCTAAGGTTATGAAAACTGCAAGACAGTCTCTTAAAATTAAGTATTAAATCATCCTAAGGTTAAAGCAGTAATGTTGCCTTGATCATATTTTATGTCCCCAGGTTAATGCTGTCATGCACCTGTTTATCACACTATGAAAAGAAAACGAAAAATGTTCATGGAAACACACGTTAACATGAATTCAAAACCAAGTTCTAAACATGGTAACAACTTCAATTAGATGCACTGATACGTTGTTAAATTTTGCGCCATATGCTCTCTCCCAGCCAAGGTACGCAGCAGCCTAGGAGATTTTGGGGTGATAAGCATGATGCAGAACGGCTGAGAGGTCAGTAATCTGTTAGTGTGGGTGACACGGTACAAGTGATAATGCATCTGAAATAAGACAAAGGGCCATGGCAAACCACCACCAAAAAGAAAGACCTTTAAGATAAAATAGCACACTAGCTTTTTTTTCCTTTCTGAAACTACAGGTTTAGGATCTTAGTTTTTTTCAAGACTAAAAGATAAAGTAAAAATCTCCACACCTTATAAAAGTCATTTCACACAGGATCCAACCATCAGTACCTTATTTTTCTTGATGAACGGCCATAACTTTCCTTTGGATTTGCCACCAAACTTGAGCTCCGGTTTGCCTTCTCCTCTGGAATTTGAAAGGCTGTTGTCTGACACAGTGCGTTTCATTGGCTGAGTGTAATCCTCAAATTCAATGTCTCCGGGAGGCTCAAACCCTGATTTATAAGCTTCTATTACCAGTTGTGAATCCTGAAATTATACCCATGAACATACAAATACATTAAAATGCATGCAAATACTTTTTACACAATGTATTATGATGAGCTCATACAGACGATATTCTAAGGGAACTACATTGATTAATACTAGTTTTTTTCCTAGTAACGCTTTTATCACGAGGAGTATCATCTGTAAACTGATATCTCTAGTTAAGATGTGAAGATACCTTCAATAATTATTTTTCTACAACTGGAGAAAATAAATATTAGTTAAGAGCTCGTTTATTAAAAGCTGAAGAATCAGTGGGCCATGATTTGCAATTCCCTTGAAAAATATACAAAAATTTGGTTCCCATCAGAGGTTCTTAAAGCAATTCAGCAGATACAAAGTCAAATCAACACCACCCCATGCAGGCACTTCTTATCATCTTTTTCCACTTTATCTTTTCCAAAATGTTCATGTTTTCAACTCTAAATAATGTTTTCATTAATTTTATTATTGTCTGTCTCCCCCTTTAGAATAGTGCCTGGCACTTGTGAATAAGTGAGCAGATTCAAATATGTGCCCAAAACTCTTGTTTTAGAAATAAAAAGAGCAATGTGGTGGGGCTTAGAGGAAAGAACTTGGGCTTTGGAGCCAGATGGACGTATCACTATGCGACTCTGGGCAAGGCTGTGACCCCTTGAGTTTGGGGTTCTCCTCAGCAGGTCATGGTGAGGACGACAGGCCTGGAATAAAGCAGGTGTTCGCTAAATACTCAGTGAACCACTTTCTAAGACAACTTTTCTCAAAATGAATTTTTTAAAACGGATACAAATAACAGCATTTAAACATGAATAGGCAGAGATAAAATGGGTACAATGAAATGAAAACTACAATAAAAATACCTAAGATCAAAGCAGCAAGACCATAATTAACTTTGCCAAGAATGGAATCTGCAAAAGAAGAGAAACTTGAAAAACCATCTGAAACATAAAAGGAGTATTTGGAAAGGGGAAGGGAATATGCAAGGAATGACGACCTATAGGGATTAAGAAAGATCTCATCTTCGAATTCTCAAAGTTACAGCAAAATCAAACTTGTCCATTCAAGTAAAGACCCAAAGGAGATACGAGGTAAGAGTGAGCCACACAGAAACCCAGGGGAGGAGCATCCCGGGCAGAGGAAAAGCATGGCAGGAGCATGCCTGCAGTTTTCAAGGAATACCAAGGTGGCCACTGCAGCATCTGGGAGAACAGAGCAAAGATAAACAGGGGAGTGGGAGGGTTCCAGATGCTTTAGGGCTTTGCAGCCCCAGGTGACTTTGGCTTTTCCTCTGAGCGAGAAGGACACTCCGGGAGGGTTCTGAGCAGAGGAGGGACGTGGTCTGACTTATTTTAAAGGGCTCTATCTCTCTGGCCTCTGTGTTAAGAAAGTACTGGCGGGGGCAGGAGGCATAAATGCAAAGGTGGGGAGACTAGTCAGATGCCTCTGCAGTGACCCAGGCTCCTCCTGCATAATCCAAGACGAAAGGGCCTTGGATCAGGAGGGTAACAGTGGCTGTGGCCAGAGCTGGTTTGGTTCTGCATGTATTTTGAAGGTAGAGCCAACAAAATCGGCTGCAAACTGATACGGGTGTGAGAAAAAGGGAGGTATCAAGGATGATTCCAAGACCGAGCAACTGAAAAGATGGAAGTGCCATCAACTGAGGCAGTGAAGAGTGGGAGGAGAGGAGGCAGGGCAGGAGCTCCATTTGGACATGTTCAGTCTGAGGTACCTGTTAGACCTCCACATGCAAAGGCCACTGGTAATTGAATATATGAAGCTGCAGTGTGCAGCAGAGGTAGGGGCTGGAAAAGTAGAATCTGCAAATCAGTGTTGAGATGGGACCTAATGCTCCAAGAGTCTACAGATCACCTAAAGGAGTGAAAGTGGAGAATAAAAGACACCTGAGATCTAAGCCCTGGAGCACCATAAAATTAAATGGAGGGAAGAAGAACATGCAAAGGAAATGAAGACCCATGAGAAGGGAAAAAGCCACCGCAGTGGCTTCCTGGGAACCAAGAGAAGGAGAAGCAGGTAAGAGGGTGGGCAAGCGGGGGCAGTGCTGTCGAAAGCTCAGGTAAGAAGACCTAGAATGGACCCTTGCCTTTAGCACCATAAGGATCATGGGTGAAGAACAATTATCAGTGATGTGATGGAAAACTAGGCTCCCATAATGGGAAGTAAAATCCTATAAATCTAGGTGGCTTATAATTTCCCAGATAAAACTGATAGAGGGAAAACATCACTCAGACATAATACTGTGAAACTGCAAGGTTTCAAGGGAAATTTCCAGGCTTCTAACACAAGAAATTAATATCAGCCTTCTTCAGATTTTAATCAATGCAGATTTTAAGTCAATGAAGCCAAAAGAAAAGTCAAGAATCACACAGAGATGACCTCATCTTTCAAAGCATAACTTATAAACCCTACTATTAGTCTCTCCCTTTAAAAGATTCACTCTCAATGTAATTTATTAATGACTATTGAAATTTTCAATAGGGTGATCAGAGAAAGCCTCACTGAGACTATTTCTTCCGAGATGTTTATAACAGTTAAAGAAAACCATCAAATAAAAAAATTTTCAGCTCACAAAAAGGATAGTTTGATCATTTCTAGAAGAAAACTTACTGGTGTAATATAGTTTGGGGTGGGGTGCCAATAATTCAAGAGCATCGATAATTTTTCTCTAAAAAGTTAGCTGAAATCACTGAAGAAGAAGGCTCTAGGTTAATAGGTATTAACAAAATAAGGAGCAAGAAATGCTGAAATCACACAGAAACAAAACAAAACAAAAAACACAAACTGCTACCAGGCATCTATTCTTCCTACAAACAGCTACCATTTAACATGTTTGGAAGCATTCGTGCACGTTGAATTGACAAAAACTTTATACACAAATGGTCTTAAATGTTGTTACACATCAAATGCTCTTGAGGCAATGAAGAATCTGAACATTAGAGGCCAGAGACACTGCTAAACATTCTGCAATGCATACGACAGCTCCCCACAGTAAAGAATTACCTGGCCTAACATGTCAAAAGTGCCCTAAAGAAACCCTGCCCCAGAGGAAACAAAGGCTTTGCCTTCTTCTAGAAATCAATCAGATCCCAAGCTGGGGAGTTTACTCAGTCAAATGACAAAAAAACACTTCGATTTAATTCTGTAATGTCTTGGACAATTTACCACTTAAATGTGTTCTCCGCAAAAGGAATCAGAGAGCTAAATCCAAACACAGAGGGCTGAATCAAAGAACTCTCAAGTGGTGTAGCCAGTATCGAAAAGCACTGTGAGCACCGAATGCACCCACCTCCCACGAGACAACTAAATGGCGCAGCACGGAGGGGGGAGGGGGAGAAATAATGGAACCACAAACAGTTGTCAATTAAGCCCAAATGACAATACCTACATTTTTCTGATCAATTGATTCAGCTGCCTTTACTATGCCGTCCAAGCATTTCCCGATGATGGGGATCACCTGCCGATCCACCTCCGCGTACGTCTTCATGGACTCTCCAATTTTCACTATCCTCCTTTCCTCCATCTCCTGTATTTTCTGTAACATTAGATTTTGTAAAAAACGAATTTGGCCCACTGTTACTTAAGGAAGCTGTTTTTCGGCAACATTGTTACCTCTAACAAATTCTCTAGGAGGCAAAGCGGTTAGGGTTAGAGCAGCCTGAGTTTATTGTGCCTCTGTATCAGCCAGCTGTATAAATATCTTATAAATTGTTAGGCTGCCAAATATACACTTTACACAACTCCATTTCAATTTCAGTAAGAATCCCCAAACTCGGTAGTTTTATCATTAACACTATTTGGTAATATACTCAAACACCTTCTCCACCTTTGATCCACTTTAACCTTCACCAAAAACACAGTATTCAGTTAACTGTCTCAACCCAGCACAGGCTGAGATATAACTAGTGTACCTTCCACTACAACTTTGGAAGTTCTTGTTTGCTGTGTGTAGACACCAAGAAACAAATATTTTTTTCTACAACCAGACTAAAAGTCATAAAAGATTCCCAAAATGGGAGGACATGTGTATATCTTTTCTCATACCATTTTTGACAACCTGAGGAACCAAAAGAAAAAAATCCAAAAGAAAGAACTATCATTTGTTGAAATCCTACAACTGTATGAATGCTGCTTTGACTCCTAAAATTGGCATTTTTATAACCAGAATCATCTTTTTAGCAATGACAGCATTAATTGGAGAATCACAGTTTAAGACTGGCGAAAAAAATGGTTGCAGGTACAAACTGTGGAAGTTTACAAAGGCTCCTAATTAATCTTGAGATTAATAATATATTTCATTCTTATTGATAGTCAATACTTGATCTAGATTCTCTAAAAAATGACTTAGTGGGCAGAGTGCAGTGGCTCATGCCTGTAATCCCAACACTTTGGGAGGCCTAGGCCAAGGCAGGAGGATCACTTGAGGCTGGGACTTTGAGACCAGCCTGGGGGGAAAAAAAAAAGGATTTAGAAGAGGCTGGGCACCATGACACCTACAATCCCAGCTACTTGGGAGACTGAGGAGGGAGGACCCCTTGAAGCCAGAAGTTTAAGGCCATCGATGATCGAGCCTGTGAATAGCCACTACACTTCAACCTGGGCAACAAAGTGAGACCCAGTCTCTTTAAAAAAAAATTTAGCAGAAATTTGGAATTATATAAACCCTTAGAATACAAGCCCAGCAATCTTGATTCAGAAGCAATGTGTTTCTAAGGAAAACAAAACCTGAAAGCTGAAAGGTTGAACGGCTTACCTGAAAGATGTTAGGTATGTGAGTATGGTAATATTCATGCTGCTCGTGGTTGAATTTCTGAAGAATTGATGAGTAATCTGCTTTGCTGTCCTCTGCCATTTGGTGACGTATTTGAGCTTGTTGTCGGGCCTTAGGACAAAAACGAGGATACCCCCACATTCATACATCATAAATAAAAGCATGGACATAATAAATAAAAGCCTGGAACTGCACAATGGGGCACCTAGGGGCCAAATTTACCTCAAATTATTGTATTTTGCAGATGCTATTTTTTAAAAAAATGTTTTGTGTTTGAATTTACTTAGGTAAGGAATGTATATCCTAGTTTTCTCAAACCTCGCCATCCTCTATTGTCTTAATGTGGCACTTTGGCCAATTCACATGTTTATGTTACCTGGATGACCCTGTGGCAACCTCTGTTCACATATTATATATATATATATTTTTTTTTTTTTGAGGAAGGGAGGGGAAATTCATACTTTTTATTTTATTTATTTATTTATTTATTTTAAGACAGAGTCTGGCTCTGTTGCCCGGGCTAGAGTGCCATGGCGTCAGCCTAGCTCACAGCAACCTCAAACTCCTGGGCTCAAGTGATCCTCCTGCCTCAGCCTCCTGAGTAGCTGGGACAACAGGCATGTGCCACCATGCCCGGCTAATTTTTTCTATGTTTAGTTGTTTGGCTAATTTCTTCCTATTTTTTGTACAGACAGGGTCTCACCCTTGCTCAGGCTGGTTTGGTAGGGTCTTAATAAATACTATCTCAAGAATCTCTAACACAATCTGAGGTCCACAGAGCACAAAACTACCCCTTGCCAGATGAAGATATAGCTCGGTCCTTAGGTGACTTGGCAAACTCACTGCATTGAGCCAAAACACAACAGGAAAAGGGCTGTGTTCCAACATAACCAAGGCAACCTTTTGTTTGCTTGCTTGTTTTTGTTTTGTTTTACTGAACCAATGTTATAGAAAATTAAGACCTAATAGTCAAAGAAAGAAAGCACATAGAAACATTCTCGTATAAACACAAAGAAGATATGCTGACGTCATTTGTCCTACTTTCTGTCTGATGGTAACATCTACTATTGGCTTTTGTCTATCTCAACGTTCTTTATTGACTTCCTGCCTATGTGACTTGAAGACTTAACCTGATTCTCACTTCGCATTTCACTCATGCATACTGGCAAAAGCCCAAGGTGGTAATTCATAGTTGCTTCCTTTATTTTCTTCCCTATTCTTACATGAACACTTCCCAAATGAAGGTAACAATATCAATATCTCCAACCTAATTTCCTCATTACTGAGGTTTTTTAGTTTCTTAAGGCCTTTAGGTATCTCGATACCATTTTATCCACTTTTCATCTACCCTTGGTTTATTTTAGCTGCCACATTCTTCCTCTTTGTTGGCAGCCTGTTAACTCCCTTCCTGACATATGCTTTGGCTTCCGCTTCTTACTGTGTCCATTAGTAAATATATTACTCTAGTCCCCAAAATGTCAAGTACCCAGCTATCCTCAAAAATCCATCCCGGTGCACAGTAGCCCTCCCTTGTTTAAGCAATAGCTTCCCACCTGCAGGTACTCCGTCTGTTCCCCTAGGCACCGAACACAAAACCCCATTAACTCTTCCAGTGCTGTCAGTTTCACCATTTATCACTTTGTTATGAATATGAAAAAAAAAAAAAACCAAGGAAATTCCCATAGAGACCTCAAATTTCTAAAATATTCTCTATTTCATTCACAAACCTTCCTCAAAAAGTCTCACAAAAATCCAAGGGGGGATTTCCTCATTTCTTATGTAAAAAACAGTAACAAGTGACAAGATAGAGTGCTCCCTTATTTATTTTAGAGATTCTTAGTGAATCTGAAACAGAGATCAGAATGTCATTGTAATATGTAACACGTACGCATGTATGTACACACACACGCACACACACACACCACCACATGAGCAGATAAAAACTTCCTGACAATAAACCCGCTTATCCCAACAGTGGGATATTTGACTTGTGAGAGCTGGTGTCACAGGCGCCCCAGCGCCCTTTGGTTGGAAGTGCCCGTGATCCTCTTCCTCTTGGCTCCACAGAATCCCTAATAGAATGTTTTAGCTTTGGCTGTACAGCTGCTTTTGTAAGCATATTAACTCCTAATACTTTCATGCTGCCCTTTACCCTGTTTATATGCAGTAATCCTGAAATATATTATAACTAGAGACCACTAGGTGTGAACCATGGAAGAAGATGAATAAAGAATGACAGGTCTAAAATCTAGCCTGGAAAGACAGCCGAGCAGCAGAAAATAAACCAGACAAACAAAACTTCAGAGGGAACAGGTCTACTTTTCATGTTAAAGAAGCATTATCTCTCTGGGAGTTTTTCTTGAATGCAAAAGCTTGTACATATGATTGCAAAAGCCCATCTATTTCCACGGTCTCTCTCCCTTCCCTGCCAAAAGGACAGGGAAATGCTTAAAAGCAGCAAAATATGGTTGTATGTCAAATTCTGCAAAGCCACAGCAGGACAACAGGACTGTCTTTTTCTCAGTTCCTATACCCAGCTGCTTTGAATTAATATCCACGTTTGAAACTCTGGCCTAGGAATGTGCCATTGTTCTAACCAAGTTTCACTATGTAAAGTCTATTTTTGATTAGTAAACTGTTATTACTTATTATTACAAAAATATTTTGAAAAACTTATCTGGAGTAACTGTTAAGTAACTATATATTTTAGAGACTGTATTTCCTACATCTAAAGCTCAATGAAGATTATAAGCATCATGATTTCTCATCTCTTTTTAGGTCAGTCTATTTCCATTCTAAACCAGACCATAAGCTATTTCTTTTAATTAAATTTCGCATTCTAAAAATAAAAGATGCTGCAACTATAGCAACATTACTATAGGGCAGAAAGACGTACAGAGGGTTGGTTTGTTTTGTCTTGTTTTAAATGAGTCAGAGTCAAAATTTAGAAATAATGTTCTAAGTAGTGCAGAATGACCACAGTTGTCCGAGGCTGTAAGTCACAGACATCTTTGAATAAGATCTAGATCACTTTCGTGTTCAACAGAAAGACTGCATTTAAACTTTAGAATTTCTTTAACAAACCCTTGGGAATCTCCCCAAATAAATCCAAATAGGCCTAAGTATGTACTGCTTACACATGACTTCACTTCTTGGTAATCCTTAACATACTCCATTCTCAATGTCCTTGTGGAAGTAAAACTGTACTGCCTAAAAGGTCAGTTTCTAAATAAAGAAAACAATATTTTAGAAACTAAACTGTAGCCCAATACTTTAAAATCCTAACGGTTTAAAGATAAAAATACCATAATCCATTTAGTAGGTTTTTAAGTATAAAATGACTGATTTTGTTAAGTACTAACTTTGACGGTTGGTATCTCTGAGCAGCAATTTTTGTGATATTTTGTGAAACCATGGTTAAGTAAAAAATTCGTGTTATTTTCGAATACGAGTTCCGTCGTGGAACCAATGCAGTGCAGACAGCTCAAAATATCAACAAGGTGTTTGGGAAGGATGTGGCTAATGAACACACAGTACATCGATGGTTTGAGAAGTTCTGTTCTAGTGATTTTAATCTTGAAAATGAGCCACATGGGCGACCTGACACCAAGGTAGATAATGATAAGTTGAAAGCTGTAGTGGAAGCAAATCCATCTCAACCTACACGTGCAACCTATGCATGAATTAGCAGCAAGGTTTGACGTTACTATTCCAACAATATTGGACCATTTGAAATAAATCCGCAAGGTAAAGAAGCTGGATAGATGGGTACCACATGAATTAAACGAGCATCAGAGGAGAAATCGTCTCAAAGCTTGCCTTTCTTTGCTGTCACAACATAAAGGCGAACCGTTTCTATACTGTATTGTTATGTGTCATGAAAAATGGATTCTTTTTGACAATTGCAAGTGTTCAGCACAATGGTTGGGATAAAGAGGAAGTGCCAAAACACAGTCCAAAACTGAATATTAATCAAAAAAAGCTAATGGTGTGTGTTTGGTGGTCCAATGTTATTATCCACTACAGCTACATGTAACCTGGTCAGTAGATTACAGCAGATGTCTACCACAACCAGTTGGGTGAAATGATGAGGATGCTTGCGATTAAGCAGCTGAGATTGGTCAATAGAGACAGGCCAATCCTCTTGCAAGACAACACTCCAACACATGTGGCACAAACAACGCTGCTCAAACCACAGAAACTGGACTTGGAAATTCTCTGTCACCCACCATGTTCATCAGACCTTGCACTAACTGACTAGCACTTCTTCCAGGCTTTGGACCCCTTCTTACAAGGAAAACTATTCAGTTCTCGACAAGCTGTGGAAAATGCCTTTGATGATATAATAAACTATACTTTTGATTTGAAATATTTAATTTAATATTTAAATATTTAATGATCTAATAGCTCAATTTAGATTATTAGCATGGTCAAAGTATATAGCTATTTTTGGCTTAATTCCATATTACTTTTTCCTTAATATTTCAAAATATTAAGGAGAATAACATTGCTGGCTGAATCTCGACTATCATAGACAGCGAATACACAGTGTACTAAGACACTTCCCCGTGGGGAACACGGTAGGTTTGCTTACTAAGTTATACCCTTGCATCTTTTTTTCATGGCTTTTGATCTCTAACAAAATGAGTAAATATGGACTAGTTCCACTAAAAATCCACTGAATAAATAAAATAATAAGATTTATTAATTTTTTGAACATGGCCTTGGACTTCTCAGAATTTTATATATTGATATTCCTTAAATAGTAAACTATTTAATGCAGCAGTGTCCAGAACTTTTAAAGAAGTCACTTTTCCCTTGTTAAAGGATATAACACATTATAAATGCCCATCTTTTATTACGAAAAGTTTGGGGAGAGCAATGAGGAATATTTTACAGTTATTACTGGTTGCCTAAACAACAGTGAATGTTTTCTGGAACAGCTGCACTTTCGATATTGCATTTCATTATTATCATAAGAAGAGACCAGTTGTATTTTAGGCTGGATGGAAAAGGGGTTTCAATCTAGATTTTATTCACTTTCATCTAAGAATGTTCTATTTTGCACCGCAGATAGGACGCCCGAATTGTCATCCAATAACCAGCAACCT